CCATAACGTCATTAGACATCTACGGGAAAACAACGTGCTTCCCCTCATCCAACCCCCGGAAGGTTATGCCTTGAAAAGATGCAACATTTACCAGTTTTTATGACAACTATGATTATTTTTCTCACGTTCAACAGACTCTAGGTGTTTGTTTTCAACATTATGCTGCCAACAGCTTGATCGTTGATACGGTAAGTAAACTTATATGAGAAACATTGCCCTTGTTTTAATTTACAGTTTCTTGTAACAGTAGTTTTTAATTTGTTATTAGGAAAGCGACCATGCTTCAACAATTAAATCCGAAAAACAACATTTGGCAAAAATATCCGTAATGGGGTTGAATATCTCGGTGGAGCTGATTGGTGGTTTACTTGTCAAGGTATGAAAACACGTAAATAATCACTCAATAGACCTCTTCGGCTTGGAGTAATGTTTTCCCATTTCAGACCACGTGTCATTCCCTTGAGAATAAGATTCTTTGTTTGAGCTGTATCCATATTCATGTGTCTTCTCATGTGCAACCGAGCGCAAACCTTAAACAAAGAAATGATACTCTAGGGAATGACATGTGGTCTGCAATGGGAAAACATTACGTCAGAGCCGAAGAGGTCTATYTTATGGACTGACAAACATTCACTTCCGATGAGAATGAAATATCAGAAGACATGCCCKCCATTTTGAAAGAAATATCAATTTYATCCAACATGGCGGCTATAACGTCCCATTTAAACCAGTTGCAATAATGTCGCGATAGTCGGGACACCATGGTAGAGGCCTTGGATTAGTCATTTGTCATGGCATGCTATCGCATGACTTAACTATCCCTTTCTATGCTGTACTGATATCAATGTTATAACAATTTGTTGCTTCTTACAGGTGTTCAATCATAAGACCGTGGACCATGAACTTGGTCTTGGGTACGTTTGCTCTATACCCAAACAGCTRGCACTGGAAAAAATGAAATCAAAAGCCTTTTTCCCAGCACAGAACTATGGCAAGATAATGGTATGCACTGATGTCAATGATCCTACGACGCTGAAGTGAACCGACTCTTAKGCTTAGTTAACATGGACTTCTCCATGTATTATTGATCCTGTATTTGTTATGTCCTTGTTAGGCACTGTCTCATGTTGGTATTGATTTTGCTGTTCTAAACAACGAACCCTTAGTACTTGACAACTATCAAAAAATGTCGTCTAATGCCGCGTGGGGACAAAAACTGAGCAAGATGAAGGTCAGTCAGTACACATGGAATATGATCATATCAGATCAATAGTTAATAAGGGGTGCTTACCATTTAAAGCAATCCCAGGATCCGGATGGAAATTCATTTGCTAATGGAAAGAAAAGAGCGGGAAATATTTACTTCCGACAAATGGTACACGCGTCTACCGAAAGAACCGAAAGAGCGGGAAAAGTGGATTATCCCAATCGGAAGACTAAGTTTTCCAGATCTTTCCGATCAAAATAACTCACACCATTTGTTTTTTTCCAACTGGATCTTYGCGGTTTTATTGGGTTAATGGTAAGCTCCCAAGAGTATGAACGAGCAGACCTTGTTTACTTTACTTGTAATGGCATCCTTTTCAGACCTTGTGTCATCTCGATCGTTAATGACTAGTGGTTAACTAGTTGTAGCTGCGTGGATAGAGCAGTTTTCGTATTACCGTGGAAAGTTCACGGCACGAACACGGTCGTGACACGGRAAGGGATACGCCAGACCAATCACATTGCACGAGAACTTACTCTCCATCCAATCAAATACCTAGAACATGGCATAAACACGGCGCGGACACGGTCACTCCAAGGTCACGGCAATGCCAGACCAATCACATTGCGCGTGAAGAAATTCAGCCAATTAAAATTCTAGAAAGCRTCACGGCACGTCACGCTTACGGCAATGAGCTTTTCACAGTCATACGAAAACTGCTCTATGTCAAATACGACAAGTGAATAAGAAGGAAAATCAAGCACCGTGTAAATGGAACTGTACTGACGTTACAAACKTTACTCCTTCGATCTTTGGAGGAAGGAATAATAATGGATTGGTTACTCCCTCTTGTAATCTTCATTAACATCAACATTTTTTTATGTCTTCTAGATTTACATCAAAGATGTTTATAAACTGGATCGCGAGGACATGGTTCGTCTACTACCTGATCTGATACAAAATAAAGACGTCAACCTGGAAACACTGCTCGATTTCTGCAAGTACGTACGGGCCATCAACACCTGGGCCCGGTTGTACGAAGGGWGGATAGCGCTATCCGGCGGATAAATCCTATCCAAAAAAATTATTAGAAAAAATTATTGGATGACAGTATCGACTTATCTAGTGGATAAGGATTTATCCGTTGGATAGSGCTATCCAMCCTTCGTACAACCGGGCCAAGGATTATCATAAGTAATACCATGGCACGAGGGAAATWAATGATTAAATCTCCCMGTTTCTCACTTACCACTGAAAAGAAGCGCTTACCTTGACTGGCTCATCGCCCTTTTTTTGACCAGAGTCCCTTGCTGCTCTCAAAAGCTATTCAGTTTATTGACCACTTGACCTAGTTCCCCACGTTAGAAACCGAGAAAGGTAACCCGCGCAGTACCAACGCCAGTAATCTGGGTGTCAATCAGAAAGTCGTAGGTGAAGGGCTGGACAAAGAGATGTCTCGAATGAGCAGCTAATCATTATTTTTCAGGACTTTTCACGTCGACGAAGAAGAAGCCTTAGTTACGTACATTAARATGCAGTTATTGCCRCCCGTTACTATGGAAACGAATGGTCAGTCAGATGATACGGATACTCCAGAGTATGAACRTAATGTACGGGCTGCAGTACCTCAGATATCGTCTGACAGCTTGTTACAGCTACTGATACATGTTTGTTCCAAGGTAATACCTTTAASACACTTTCTTGGGGGGGAGGGTGTAATAATTCCAGAATGAAGTGTCATCTATTTAAGTGACGTACCGTGACGTCATCCAAGTGCAAATGTTTTAACCAGCATGCACCCCAAGCAAGCATTACGTGCAACAAAAGATCATTGAACCAATCCAATAATTGATAACTAATAATTATTTCTACTGGTATTGCACTAATTTGTTAAGGTTGATCCGTACGACTACAGCAAGATCTTATTCATCCTGAAGCTTACCAAGGAACACGCACCCGGTGATGTCGTATCGACTGTAGACAAGGTTTGCATTATTGGTTTATACCCTTTTCGTCCATCTCATATCAGATTCGAATCTTTGCCGGCGAGTATCCTTTCTCTTATTCTAACATGCTCTTTCCAGCTAAGGTCATTATTCGTCTATTTTACTAATTTCAAAAAATACCTGATAAAAGCTTATTATCCATTAGGCGCAGTGCGACTAAAAACTTTGTTCTATCGACTAAATTTTTAAAGTCGGTCGGCACTTGCAACTTTGGAGTCCTTGACTTTTGTTTCCCGATCCTCTTGGCAATGGCGAAGAAGAGAAATTATTTTTGTACCGTCAGCTGGTACCTTGTTAATGATAATAATAACGTCTTTGTTTATAGAGGGTGAAACGTGACAGTAGCCAACTTAGCACACTGATAGATTTGTGGTCCTCAATGTTGAACGTATCTAAGAGAGACAGGACCGTCATTTTACGTGGTCATCCGAGCCACGGCGAAGGTCTAACCATTTGCAGATATTTTTTAGAGCAAAGGCAACACGTTAGTCTACTCAGATATTTTAAGACTCTGAGTATGAGTCTGGCGWGTAGTAAGAGTCCGCTTGAATCCACGTTTCCCCATGACCTCCTGCACAAGTTACCGGTGCCTAACCAACTGAGCTAGCCGGTAACAACGTTATTGCAGTTTTGGTGAGTGCCTTTTCTTTGTTCCAGGGTATTCAACTGTTGGAGTACCTCAACCATTATGAAAGAAAGTCTCTACCGTCCAAATACGAGAAAACGTTCTCTTACTCTATAACCACCGATGAGAAAGATAAGGTAGTTTTTGTATGAACGATAAAACTTATTTTCATTATTTATTGGAGAAAGAAGAGAGACACGTGAGAAATTGGGTGGCGTAATGGTTTACCTCTCGCCTCTCTCCACTGTGGTCCGGGTTCGAGCCCCGACTCAGACTGGATCATATGTGAGTTGAGTTTGTTTGATGTGTTGTTCTTTTTCTTGACACGAGGGTTTTCTCCGGGTTCTCCGGATTTTCTCCCTCCATAAAAATCAACATGTGAGTTGAGTTGAGTTGAGTTGAATGTATTGGTGGTGCGTGTGGAGCGACTCACGGAAGAGCCCCATAGGGGAGTAATGGTTGTAAAACATAACTTTTTTAGGGACCAAATGTATTCCCATGTATTTTCAGTTAAAGGAGTCCCTGAATTGATAAGTTATGGCAGAAAAGCTTGGGATATTTCTTACAAATTAAATTTTGGGGACAGCTTTGAGCTTTGCACGCAGGAGAGGGAGGGAGATCAAATTTTCTACTTCTCGTTCATTCGCTCCCCTGTAGAAAGTCAATGGTTTCTTTGCATTCTTTGTTAGATGAGTATGGCCACAGAAAAACCACTGTCGCCATTATCCAAGAAAAGACTACCGTTCCATCCACTACTGCACGGAGAACCATGGAAAATCATTGGTAAATACTGTACTACATCTCGTACTGTCCATAAACGTTTTTAGTCAAATCGTATAAGAATCCTAAGAAGTCGCTCGATTATATCCCTGTTAAGTAAGGCCCCCGTCACATGTAAACTATGGAAACGCTCACCATAAACGCATACGACTACCCTATGTCACGGGGGAAGTTAAATAAATAAAAGTACTTTTTGATGCTTCTAGCCTTTCCGTCCACACGGAAACGATGAAAACGCTCACCGTTAACGCATACAGGGTTCGTGCTACTCCTTAAACTCCTTGAAAACTCCTTGAATTTAATTTCAAGGGCACTTGAAAAGCTCTTGAATTTTATGAGTTTAGCGAAACTCCTTGAAAACTCCTTGGATTTTTGCTTTGATCATTACTTGCATGGTTCTGAAATAGATCTAGTCGGAAAGATCGGAAAATCTGAAAGTCAGCCATGTGCAACCACCGTGTAAAACCTTGGCATAGTTAGCTGAAMATTCTTGAATTTTAAGTGGTTACCTCAGCACGAACCCTGGAATACTTCTGAAAACGCTCTCCAAAGCGGATGCTTTTAAATAAGTTGTTTACGTCTTCTCATGTGGACGTCTTATTAGGTTATTTGAATAACCCGTTATAACATTACTCACACGCCGCAACTGGAAGGTTTTTTCCTAACCGTAGATGGGTGACAGTAATGTATATTGTTGATCATGAGTTTATTGTATTGATTTCAGCTGCTGAGCTGTCAGAGGACACTGTTCCAAAACTTATTGGTGTTGCTAAGCTCCTTAAGGTAACTTAAGTGTTTTCTTATTTATTTCACCATCATCGATTTTGTAKGGACTGAAATCAACTTTGATAGGCTTTATAGCACTGTTGGCGCAAACTAGAAAGATGGAGACACATGCATGTTGGGTTTTACTGGTATTTTTCACGCGGCAGCCATGTTGACTGGAAAAATAGATTTSCCCCGCGTGGACTCGCATTCAAGCGCTTTAAGATGAGGTTATGTGTGGTCAAACAAAGGTTTTTATTCCCCTTAGAATAAACATGACGCCTTGTGGTAAAGTTGCATTGTTTGATTAGTTATCGACAGATCAGATGTACCTGACAGCCATTCAGAACCTCTTCAAGTCCGCTCAAAAACGAACTTCAGGTTCATCGGAATCCCTACTAGACGAATCGACTACAGACAACGATTCGTCTGATAGCTTGAAGAGATTTGACTTTGAAAGAGCAAGAGGTTTGTTGTTCTCCGTCAAGAACAAAGAGATGGCTATTGCGGCTGCTAAGTGGATCGCACAGCARTTACCACTAGGTAKGAAGAKTRTTGCTAAGGTGTTTTTTCATCTATCTACATGTATCTTCTTGACACAGAAAAATGGTCGCTCACAATAGTGCTACCATAGTTTTTGACCCTTGTCAAAGACCCTTGGTAATGTAACTCTGTACCTGTCTGATTACGAACATCATGTCAGGATTCTAGTTTACAGTTGTAATTATTCAATAGGAGAAGAGAAGATCAAGGTTCTTGAGACGTGTGCGGATCTTGCAGATGACTGGCAGAATACCTGTACTCAGCAGGTCAGATCAGATTGGATTATCGTTTGTGACTTTTTTATTATATATTTTAGTTCTATTGTATTAACTATCTTAGTTATCATAACTTCCTAGTTTTACTTCAGACATTTATATATTTAACACTTATTGACTGGGACCGAGGGAAACTGTTTTGTGGTCTCGAGACATTTTTTTAATGTTTCTTAGAGCCYGTGTACATTAGTTCTCGGGACCAGTAACCTGGGTAACCACGCCTTAGCCTACCGCTGACCACCCTGATATATGATAGGCTTCTCGTTCTCCAATACTGTTTCCTCTCACGAGGCTCGTTTGAGGACGAGTGCCATCAACCCACCTACCTCCCTGAAGTGATGAATGTTGCGCAGGCTAAGCCGTTGCACCGTTTCGCCTGCGGGGTTGCCATTTCACCATTTATTACAATTATTGTAATATTTGATTACCGTAATTATCCAGAGTCTGCGTTTCTTTTGGCTAGCGGCGAAAAACAAGGGCTCTGGCATAATCCATTTTTTGAGACCAGGATTTCTTGAACTTCCGGTATAAGAGCGCATGCGTTCCCGATTTCTAATTTTTATTTTGATCGGAAGTAAACACAGAACTCTGTTCTAAAGCATTATTTTTATTGACTATATTTCACTCCCGGAAAATTGCGCATGCGCCAAAAAAGGGATTATGTCAGAGCCCTCGTTCTTCGCCGCAGGCCAGAAGAAACGCATGCTCTGGGTGCGAGGTTGGCGCGACTTAATAATTCACTGGTATATTGACACGGGCATGGTTTAYGGTCAGCAGGAAGCTAAGAAAGCCAATGTGACGTATAGTCGTCTAAAGGAGCTCAGCAGGGGAATCGCCACAGAATACGTGCTGCACAAGTAYGATATTGCAGAACCATCCTTGGTTACCATGGTAAACCAGCCCGCCAAATTGATCTGTCAGCTTTATGAGACCCATGGCGCCCGTGATACTCATGTCAGAAATCAGCCCCCTGGTAGGTGGAACTATGKTATCACACATACCTTTCAAGATGGCTCTAGGAACTCTCAAGGGGAATATTGGGGCTGTTTTTTATTTTGTGGAATCAAGGGAGACTTATCCCCTTATTCCACAACATCTAATACGAAGAGTTCTTATTCAGCCCAGCCCAGGGGTAGAGCTCAGTAGTCCCCTTCATTATTCTCTGARGCATCTTCAAAGGTAACGGTGCCTGAGCATCGAGGTGAGCACGACGATGACCTTGCAATAATAGARACATAATTGTCCAAGGCCTTTAAAAAAGTCAAAAAGAGTATGGACAAAAGGAAATCCAGAGGTTAACCCTATATGAAAAATTTCTCAAATAAAAAGACTACAATCAAAAAGAAGAAAAAATCTAATCTAATTCTCTGTCTTACAAAAACGATTTCGTGGTTTTCTTCAAATATGGCAATAATCAGTCGGTACCTTTTATGTTGTTGACTGGCGYCAGTAAAAACCGATGTCACARCAAGCCGTTGAAATGTTTGAGTTCGTARAATATTGAAAACTGCAGTAATGACAGAGCGAGGKTCCCAGTCGTATTAACCACGTGCTATTTAGCTTTACCCACACAAAACCTATGAGACAAGAACGTCACTCAGCTATTTCATTGTATTACATTTCAGACATCAATAAAGCTTCAGAGGAGATAGCCTCCATCAACAACAGCAAGATCAATAAAATACGGCTCTATCTCATCGAAGTACGGCTCTATCTCATTGAAGTTACGTCATAGCCGCCATGTTGGTTAACGATATCAAAGCATTCCTCATTAGCTTCTCTTGTTAGATCAACCAACATGGCGGCTGTTTCATTGTTATTGTTCATTGTCACATAGTTGCACACACTGTATACACTTACTGCMTTACAAAAATATTTGTAACATTTTGTATATAACTTGTTTTTACTTATATTTTCTTAGCAATTCCTCAAACACATTATTCTAAAGGTGTGCTTTTATTGCCATTTCTACTTCTTTTTCGTTAGAAGTGGCTACCGTCTTCTCCAGCTACCTCAGAATGTTCTCTAAATGAGAGTACAGATCAGGTATCATATTAGTAAATGTCTCTGCAGTAAATAAAGCTAATTAACCTTGTTAGTATCTGTTAAAACACAGGCTTGATTAGATCAACTTTGTCGGTATCCATAGCAACACAGGYTTGATAAACTTTGTCAGTATCCACAGAAATATATATTGCTGGGTTTCACTTGACATCATTTCCCGCCTAGTGGGGAATGTTCATCAGCTGAATCACAAGTTTTAAATAGCATTCTTTCTGGTTGACAGCACATGGTGGTCAGTGTTTGACCGCCATTTGGAGCAAGTAGTGAGATTCAAAGACTTTTGTCATTGAAACTCAGAAATTACGCCGCCTGTGATAAGTGGGTATTTATTGTGGGTGCGTGATAAGTATCATCATGAACGGTACCTTTTATCTTTTTAGGCACTAACGGACTATACCGAGAACACGGAAGACGCCATGAATTTGAAAAGGTGAGATCAGCGTACTTTAGTAGGCATTTAGAAACATTCATTGCGATGTATTTTGGATAGAAATTTAAAAGTTTCTTTGAAAAAAGTTTCTTAATTAAAATATATTACGTCCGCGCAATGATACTTTTCTCTGATATTCAAGCCTGAAATTATACTMAAACAATTATTCACCTCAAGCTCAGTGAATATGGTGAATATATTTACCTTTACTATATGTCGGTGAATATTCACCGGTATTCACCTCGCCTCCAGTGAATTCTGATTGTTAAACAAGTAATCGAGAGCCACTTTACATGGACATGTTYTTATGCGAACACTTAATTACTAAAATTACCGTGTCTTTCAAGGGTCGTATATGTATTACAGAGTAACCAAGTTGAACACAACATCATGTTCTTACTGAATTTTGCTTACAAGGTAAGAGTACTTATAAGTTTATTGATATATCAAACTCTTCCTTATCATATGAACAATGTTCCATTTTACTGGTTTTACTGTCCATCTAAAATTCACCAGGAAATGTCTTCTGCTAACATCACCAGTCTGTGTAGACTAAGATCTCTCCGAGCTTTATTTGCCATCGCTCCAGATGATGTCATCGTTGAAGTGTCTAAGAAGCCCATCGACTCCATAAGGTACCTAGTAGTACTCGCTTCTCGTTCTGGTACAATTTCCCTATTTTATTGCGTGCCATCTCTTTTATGTTATTACGAATATTGCAGACGTCACTTTTCCTCTTGTATGTTATTACGTATTGCAGACAGTACATGACGTCACTTTTTCTCTTGTATGTTATTACGTATTGCAGACAGTACATGACGTCACTTTTTCTCTTGTATGTTATTACGTATTGCAGACAGTACATGACGTCACTGACCTACTTGGCAGAACTCGAAGCCCTTCACATACAGCAATCACTTAGTGCTTTCCAAAAGTGCAACAAAGAGGGACTGGTAAGAGGATTATGGCGCAACCACAACAACGAGAGAAGGGTAAGCCACGGTTATCTTTTACAGTCCTTAATAGCCATTTCAAGGTTGAGGGGGAAAATGGATCGAGTTGGCCCTAAGGTGCATTTTGGGACTGTTTTAGGGAACATATTTCCAAGATCCTCGAATAAGCCCAGGACTCATGTTTGCCCAATGTGCTTTTTTTGGTCTGAGAACAATATAAGAACAGAATCACGCGATAACGGACTCATTTTCGAAGGTTTACGGTATTTTGTTTCCTAAAGCAGTCCCACAATGCACTGCAATGCCAACTTTTCCCAGTCTTTCCTTACACTCGACATGGCTAATATTTGTTGAAAAAAAGCTAAAGAATTTGCCAACCTTACAGAAAATAGTCAAAACTGTAGGAATCTTGACCAGAATCTTAACTATAACTTTCACTTTCAATAAGCTATTAGATAAACCTTATTACCAGCCTTCAATGATTGACACCACTACTTCGTCCATGCTCAATCATCCATAGAATTTCCAGTTGAAGATTCGCTGATGTTCAGCCTCTGATAGAAATCGCACGAGAGACCGGAAATATGAGTTATTTTGATAACAAGACTGACGCAATKGCATTTCTCTTACCATTCAGGCAGTTCGTCTTGTTGCTGATTTGTGTCTAGTGAATAAGATACACGATCCTCAACTTTGGAACAGTGTACTCCAGCAGCTACTCGGCTTTGGAATGGTAAACAACAGCAATCTTTTCCTCCCTTCTTACTTTCTTTCTGCTGCTTTCTTCGTTTCATTTTTTCCTTCCCTCCCTCCCTCCCTCCCTTCCTTCCTCCCTTCCTTCC